ATGTGTGTTTGCCCTAAATTCATTATCATTTTGCCTATTGTATAATCTAGCATTGATTAAAGAATAAATTAGATGAGTTAATGTGGGAGTTAGTGTTTTTGTTTGCTGTTTTGATTTTTGTTTTAATTTGCTATGTTCATTTGTTTTCCTGTGGAGTATTATTATCCTATTGAACCCTATTTCCTTTCTGTTCTCTCTATCTGTTATGGCTCCCCCATTTGTGATGAGGTCTTTTTTTTTTTTTTTTTGGTGGTAGTAAGTCTTGTGTCATGTGATAGTTGGGCAGAGCAACGCTATCTGCCAAATGAAAATAAGACACATGTTGTGGGCCTCAATATCATTGTTTCTCAAAGTGTAGGCCAGAGTAGAAACATCATCAGATCTAGTCTGATTTGGTCTCTATGGTGGTGGGGGCAAGAATCTTCATTGCTTAACAAGGCCTTCAACTGATACTCAAGTACACTAAGGTTCAAGAATCACTGTTTAAGGCTAACTGCACAATTATTAATTAGCGTAGCTACAGCAGAAGAACATTCATGAGTGCTGTCAGACTTCTTCAGTATCTCAATCAGGAAATATATTTGGTACATGTGGTATTTATATTTTTTATGAAGAACCTGGCATCTTCAACAGGAAAAGTCTATTTACTCTGTGTGCTCTGCTTCTTTCTTCTTTGTTCAGAATGCCTCTCTCCTACTCCCAGCCTCCCTAACTTCCTCAACCAGTATATAACAGGCTTATAGCCTCCAGCACCTATTCCTTAGAATTGAAGGAGCGACTCTTTGGATCCTGTTATTTTCCTCAAGAACTGAAAATTGACTCTTGTTACAAGAATCTAGAGCATACAGTGTCATTGACTGTGTAACCCAGTCTTAGCAAGGTCCCTGGCCAGGGAGATTTGTTTGAAACATATTCTGCCATGGAAATACTTGGAAGGTAAAAATCTTCTATGTACACTTGGGTGAGACTCAAACAGCTATACCCTTCCTGTTGGGACTGGGGCAGATGTGAGGGGTGATTTGCACACACCTCTCTTTGTGTGTGTATGTGAGAGAGAGTGTGTGTGTGTGTATGTATGTATTTGGAAGCTTCCCTATTGTGAATGATAAAAACCTTGTCAATTGAGTTGATAAGTTTAGCAGACTGGGACAGCTGGTCCTTAAGAAATGAGATATCACTCAGCTAAATAGGCACTAGAAAGTTAATAGTTTAATTACCTGATATGATATTGGCCCCCCTGCCCAGCTTTTAAGAGACATTTCATTATAGGTGAAGCACCTGTTAAAGGATTCTGTAGTCTATTTGATTTCAGTTTTGCACTTCTAGGAAACTGTCTTTTTAATCATATCCATATTAGTTGTGGTATGTTGAATGACAGGGAACTTAAAACAGATGCTCTGTGTATGTTTCTTACTGTTTTGCAAAAGTAATATCTGTTTGTTGTTTGAATAGTTACAGTTAAGAAACTGATAATTTAGGAATGAAATTTCCCTGCACTGCCCAGAGATACATACACTTAAGAATTCAGTATTTGTTACCCCACATTCTTTTTTTGTGGTTGTGTCAGAAAGATATCTCTGGGTACCTGAAGGGTTTCATTTAGCCATTTATGGTTTTTAGATGTCTTTCATGGTTTATCTCTGTTGACATTCAGAAACTGCAAGAGAAAGAAGTGGTGGCTTCTCTGTGCCTCGCAGTGTGCTTTAAGTGCTGGACTTGGATTGTGTTTTTGATTCTTCCACCAACATTGTAGTGTAGGCAGGAATAATTAGGCTGTTTCTGTAAATAAGGAGGCTGAATTTTAGACAAGTCAAGTGACTTGCTCAAAGTCACACCATGAATCTGGATTAATCTGATTCTTGTCTAGAGAATGTTGTGCAGCACCCTATAATTTTCCTGTATTGAGGAGTGTTTTTTAGCTGACAGCATCATTGAGACATAACAAAGCTGTTGAATATGGATGTAATCCTTCTTGAGCTTAAGAGGTATTTTGTTAGTTTTTAACTAAGGGTTGGCATACTGTCACCGGCTGGCTGACTCCAGCATGTTGCCTCTTTTTGTAAGTAGTTTTATCAGAATGGAGCTATATTCATTTTTTTTTAAAAAAAAATATGTTGTAACAGAGACAACCTGCAAAGCCTAAAATATTTGTTTACCCCGCCTTTTACAGTGATGGCTGACTATTGCCATAGACACCAAATTTAATTTAGGTGTAGCTTCCTTTGTAACTTTTAAGATTTTGCATTCATTTGCTTAGGCACATTGGTTGGTGGAGGTGCTTTCTGTCTCCCTTTCTCTCTGAATCAGGTCATACTGCCATATCACTTCATGCCTGAGTTTCTGTGTAGTCCTGTATGGTGATTGAGTTTCTGCAAACTCCTTTGTGAACAGCATGAATTTCAAAAATTCTAAAACTTGTGCTATTGTTTATCTTTTAAGCATTGTATGCCCATCTTTGGTTCATTCTGCTGATGGTGTCCTCACTGTACTCTATGAAGAAAAGACTGACCATAGTTTATATCAAAATTCAGGAACACTTGTACCCACAACCTTTGCTTCTCTAAAGTACCTTTAGAGATTTATGTGTGAGTGTTAGGGGACAACATCAATTTATATAATTGAGACAGTTGCATTAAAATTGGGAGAGTATTATTTTGACATAAAGTGATTTTGTCACTTTTATATGACACTGAACTATGAAATTTTGTTTTCAACATTTTAAAGTGAAAAATGTGGAAACAATAAAAACAGAGGCTGGGGCGATAGCTCAGTGGTAGAGTGCTGGCCTTCCACATGTGAGGAACTGGGTTCAATCTTCAGCACCACATAAAAGTAAATAAATATATTGTGTCTATCTACAACTTATTTTTTTTTAAAGAATAAAAACAATTATTATGCTTCTGTTTATTTCACACTCCTTACATTTATGACTGCTCAAAACTCTAGCTGGTTTTACTGTTGAGTGGTAGATTTGTTGATCGTACTTAACACCATGTCGTGTAGTCTTTTAATTTTGATATTTCTTCTTAGTCTTTCAAATGCTAGGCAATCTTTATTGTCAGTATTTCTCATGTATTGGTTGTAACATGAAAACAGTCCTATTGGACTTGTGAATTTGCTTTAAGTCATTCATTGCTTTCTAGGTAAGGAAGAAATAGTAGGGTTTTTTCCTAACATTCTGTCTTAAAACCATTGCATGGACAGAGTACATTTCTTAAGCTTTCTTTTTGGGAAGGCTTGATCAGTACTGGCAATGTGGAGAAAAAAATGTATTGGTATCACACAGTGTTTGAATTTAGGTTCTCCCGTTTACTTTTTGCTCTTTGTGTTAAATATGTTTAATTTTTGAAAAGACTCCCCCACCAGTGAAATGAGAAAAGTGATCTTTTTTTTATGGAGAATGAATACAATATCATATATAAAACCCAATGAAGTTTAGTTCTCTCTTTCCCCTCATGTGTCATCATTGAAGAAGTCTAAAAACCAATCTGTTCCTGGAGCCTTCTGGTCATTACTTTTATTACTTTTGACAGATATATTCTTTTCAGTAGCCTGTGTTGCCAACAACACAATGACCTGGCTCTTTGACCAGTGGGAGAGGACAGACACTTTGTCATCCCTCTTTAATCCTCTTATCAGAGCAACTTGTTATGGGTTATGGCTTTGAAATACATTTGGATAAACACAGTTCAAGCAGTTCAGATGGCATCAGCTCATCGCTTCTCGGCCTTTTGGCTAAGATCAAGTGTAGTATCAGATGGCATCAGCTCTTCATTAGAGCCCTCTGAGCTCTCTCATCTCTCAGTTCACATCTGTATGCAGTGGGAGCCCCTCAGATAGTTGATGTTGTGGTCCTTACACAGTATTCTAAGTTTCCTTGGCAAATTATAACGCATAAAAGGGCTGAAAAGTCATTAGTTTGTACCCATAGATTTCTCTAATTCTTGTGGGTTACCAATGTGTTAATTTTCATATCAGTTTCTTCTGCCTGCGATGGCAGGAACACTTCTTAAGTTATTCAAGACACATTAGTTTATAAATTTATAGGTTCTTTAAATCCCATATCTCAGCAAGTCTGAACAGGACCGGGAAATCTGATTAAAGGCCAGAGAGCACAGTGAGTTAATTTTAAATTAAATGGATATTTAATACATTGAGCAATTACTCAAGCCTGCCATTTTTTCATCAGTGTTTGTTATTTGAATCTGAAATATACTTAAAATTTTCCACTAAATGAGTTTGTTACTATTACATTTCTTAAAGTTGGTTTTTAGTGTAGATTTCTTTAGGCATACTGGAAGGAAAGAGTGCCCTGAAGATCAGCTTATAGTCACATTCAGGATGTTTATCATTCTGAAATCCTACATGCTATTCTTAATATTCAGAAATGTGTTATACAATATTGGGAATCTTCTGTAAAGTTCTTCATAAGATTTTTGTGAGCATTCATTTAATGACAAATAATTAAGGAATTCAGCTATTAATTTTGAGGAAGGTGAGTTTTTAGCTGTTAAAGGCAAGCTGCATCTTCTCTGAGAAGATGGCAGTGAGCAAAAGAGCTCTAGTGGTCTTTTGCTACTTCCTTTCCCTTTCTCCAAACTCCTTAGTGGGACTAGGGGGATATCTTGGGTAGAGCAGCATTTTGTGAGTTTGATGGGTTATACAGAAGCACAAATGAACATTTAATGGTTTTGCTTTGGTAAATGCTTTAAATATCTGATCAATGGTTTTCTGTGACAATGAAGCCTTTGTCTTTCTTCTTCAATTAGAAAATCATTCTCCCCACTTGAAAAGTGGCTGGAATACAAGGAATTCTGTAATCCTTGAGCCTCCTTTTTCCCAAATCTCTAAGGAAAGCCGAACACACACACGCGCGCGCGCGCACACACACACAGTAACCTCAGACATAGGATTATACTCTTAGAGCTGTGGGTGATTTTTATATTTTTGGTGACCATTTCCAATTTGATTCTCATTTATTTCTTCAATTTCTGTTTCAGTGTCCTGGGTCATGAAACTTAATCCACAACAAGCTCCATTATATGTGAGTAAATGTGATTTCTTTTCATTTTGTACTTATCTATGTTGTTCATTATTTGTAATAAACTCATACTCTTGTGATAGAGATTACCAAATAATTTTTTATGCATCAGGAATTGAGTTTGATTTAGTAAATACTAAATTGACTAGTACATGATGAAACTGAGCTGAGAACAAATAATACCTGTAAGACTTGTGAGGTAATCTAGTCAGGGTGATAAGATGTACCTATGAAACAAATTGCCCTGCAAATGGTACTGTACTGTGGCTTCTTTCTTTTATTGCTGTGCATTTCTGTAAATGGAGATTTTTCCCATTCCCATTGTGAGTTACCTTGTGTTGCAGCTAGGTGGCACCCTGTCATTGGCAAGAGTGTTGTTTACCTTAAGACTGGGTGAAAGCTGACACAACATTCTTCTTGGAGAGAGTGAATTATAGGATGAAATGGATAAATTAACAGATTGAGGCTGGACGAGGAGTGGAAGTGCATTGACTTCATTGGGGGGCTGGAAAGGTGCTTATTAGGGAGGAGCCATCTAGAGCTACTGACAGAGTTGTGAGAGGCCAGAGGATGTTGGGTTGCTATGTTCTGGAGAGGGTGAGAAAAGTTTGTGATAGGATTTGAGTCAGGCCTTGAATCAGGACCAATTAGTTGGTTGAAACATCTCCTTAATTTGTTTAGGACAAAAGGGAGATGGGCAATAAGGGTGGTGTTAGTTGAGTGGTGGTAGGGTAAACAGTAGAAACTCTTGTACAGCTGAATTTCTGTTGGGGAATCATGTGGGATAACTATAGAGTGTTGAAGCTTAGTTCCAAAGGAAGACAAAGGTGAGGGAATTTTGTTTTTTGACCACCAAGGAGTCATTGATGATGTATATTTTAAAACTGCTGTTCATTATGTATTTAATTATTTTTAACCATTGCTGTTTACAGTAGTTATTTTTTTCCAACATGAGTCATTCATATAATTCTTATGCATAGTTGATTTTGTTAATTTTAACATAATAAAGAAAAATACATGCTCTTAGAAAATATTTTATGTATTTATTTTCTTTCCTGATTACTTGGGAATGATATATGTTCATCAGTTAGTTTTCATGTGAATTGAATGCCTTAGATTTTTCTAGAGCATCTTCGTTGATTCACATATCATATATTCTCCCTTTCAAAAGTATAATTAATTGGTTTTTTATATACAGGTAGAGAATCCCTTGTCTGAAATACTTGGGACCAGAAGTGTTTCATGTTTTGAATTTTTTCTGATTTTTGAAATATCTGTGTATATATAATGAGCTATCTTAGGACCCAAGTCTAAACATGAAATCAATTTGTTTTATGTACATATTTGACACACAGCCCCAAATTAATTTTAAATAATTTTGTGTGACATTTTCAGGTGTGGAGTTTTCTACTGTGGCATCATATTGGTGCTCAAAAAGTTTTGTGTTTTGGAAAAGCATTTTGGATTTTATTTAGATTAGGGATGCTCAGTCTACATTTCCGTTTGTGCCATTATGATCATTATCTAACTTTAGGACATTTTTATCACCCCTAAAGAAATGTCATACTCATTAGCAGTTCACTTCCCACTCCTCCCAGCGCTTGGCAACCACTTATTTACTTATCTTTATTGATTTATCTATTCTACAAACTTCATGTAGTTGGAGTCAACTATATGTGACCTTTTGTGACTGTCTTTTTAACAGCATGCTTTCAAGTTTTAACTATTTTAGAGCTTGTGTTGATATTTTTTATTGATGAATAATCTGATGTGTATCTATCTATACCACCCTTTGTTTATCCATTCTAGTTATTGTTCATTTGAGTCCTTTCCACTTTTTATTGTTATGAATAGTGTTGTTGTATAGGAATACGTTTTTATTTTTCTTGGGTATACACACTAAGAGTAAAATTGTTTAGTTATATGATAACTCTGTTTAATATATTGAGGAATTGCCAAACTGTTTTCCATGGTGGCTGTTGTATTTTACATTCTCATCAGCAGTGCATGAGACTTTCCATTTCTATCTTTGCCAATGTTTTTATTGTCTGACTTTTGGATTGTAGCCCTGTTGGTGGGTGTGGTAAAACTTATTGTAGTTTTGATTTGCATTACCCAAATGGCTAATGATTTTGATCACTTTTTTCATGTGCTTGCTGAAAGAAATATTTCTTGCTTTAAAGAAATATCTATTCAGATTCCTTGCCCATTTAAAAATTGGTTTGTCTTTTATTATTGAGTTGTAAGGATTCTTTGTATAGTCTGGGCTCAAGTTCCTTATCTGGTTTGTGATTTGCAAAATGTGCTGTTCTGTGGGCTGTCATTTTACTTTCTTAGTGATGTTCTTTGAAGTTCAAAAAGTTTCCATTTTGGCTAGGGCTGTAGCTCAGTGGTAGAGCACCGGCCTTGCACATGTGAGGCACTGGGTTCGATCCTCAGCACCACATAAATAAATATATTGTGTCCATCTAGAACTAAAAAAATATTTTAAAAAATTTCCATTTTGATAATGCCCAGATTATTATTTATTTATCACTTATACTTTTGGTATCCTATCTAAGAGTTCTTTGCAGAAACCAAGTTCACAGAGATTGACTCCTGTGTCTTCATCTAGGGATTTTATAGTCCGCATCTTAATTCCCAGAAACTGAATGTATTTACCTTATACTGTAAAAGGATCTTCTTATTGATTAAATTATGGATCTTAAGATGTAAGATTATTCTGGTGATCCATTGTAATCATTGGGATTCTTATAAGTAAAAGAGGGTGTGAAGAGAGTTGGGGTCAGTTTCAGAGATTTGAAGATGCCACACTGCTGAATTTGAAGGTGAAGAAAGGAACCATGAGCCCAGGAATTACAGCCTCTAGAAACTGGAAAAAGCAGATAACACTTTTTCTCTCTAGAAACTTCAGAAGGAACATAGCCCTGCTAATAACCTGGTTTTTAGTCCAGTAAAAGTCATTTTAGCCATCTGACTTTTAGACTTGTACAATATCTATGTGAGTTCTTTAAAGCTACTGAGTTGGTGGTGGTGTGTTTTTTGTAACAGCAACAGAAAACTATTCTGTAGTAGTTTGGGAACAATTATTGGTGGTAGTATGAAGAATAATTGGGAAGAAGAGGGTAGAGGCAGAAAGATCAGTTAGAAGCCTCCTGATCTTTCCTTCTTGGAGTCTACTAGAACTATAGAGTTAATAAAAACCTTTGATATTATCTACTTCAGCCCCGTTCCATCTTAGAGATGAGGAGATGAGGTCTGAATGTGTTGTGATAAAAGGCATAGCTCACTGGTGGTAAAATTGTGATTTGAGTCTGTGTTTTCTAAAATTAGTCATAGAAACCAATGTAAACCTTGTTAAGCTTATACAAGTTTCATTCTGCTAGGGAAGCAAGGTTCAGCCTTGCTTCGTATATAATTATGTGTTGAAGTGAACTGAACAGACTTTACTGAAGAATCGCTTAAACTTCAGGTTTCAAATACATTTATTATTAGTAATAAGTAGGGTAGTTTGTTATCCTTTTAAAAAGGGAAGTGACAGTATATTGTATTCTCAATTAACTGAGTCAAATCATAGTGATTTATGCTGTTTTGGTGAAGAAAAATACTAGTTATAGGTGAGTTTGTTGAACTGGAGGTACAGTTCTCTGCACCTGTAAAAACAGACAATGATCAAAGGAATGGCAAGATTATGTTGAAGTTTTTCTTTTAGTTCATATTTGGGATCAACTAGGGGTGAGCATCATTGGTAGGAGAGAGAAAACTGCTACTAAATATGAAAAACACATAATCCTAAGAACTTATTTCTACAAGAAAAAAATAGGCTGGATTCCAAATAAATATTTTAATCAGTCTTTAAATAAAGATGCATCCGGAATAAGTTGCAGTTGTAAGAAAGTTTCTATACTGTGCAGGTGGAAGTATGTACTGTTGAATGTTTAAATGAAACTCCTTTAATGATTTTTTTTTTTTTTTTTTTTTAGTGAAATGTTCACAGTGGGATGGCTTAGAACTTTTTTCTGGGGGAGGTGTACTAGGGATTGAACCCAGGGACACTTAACCACTGAGTCATATCCCTAGCCCTTTTAAAAACTATTTTATTAGATACAGGATCTCACTGAGTTGCCAAGTGCCTCGTTAAGTTGCTGAGACTGGCTTTGAACTCGAAATCCTCCTCCTTCAGCCTCCCAAGCTGCTGGGATTACAGGTGTGTGCCACCATGCCTGGCTGGCTTAGAACTTTTGACAACCAGGAGCGCAACGTGACTATGCCTTTGTTTCTTGTCTTATCAGTTCTTATTCCTTGAGTACAGCCTTTGTGTTAGGCAGTGTGTAGTTATATTACTAGGTCAGGTATTTCTAACAGCCTCCACAGAAATATTGATTATTGCCAGGTGGATTTATAAGGTTCCATTGGGTGGTGGTGGTAAAACCTCTGAAAAGCTTAGTAATACCCCTTTTTGTGTGTTGGTGTACATAAGTTAATGAGTTGAAAATGGAAAGACAGTGGCAGATGAAAGAAATATTTTTTAAAAAGGACTGAACACTTCATTAGAAATGGGGAGTGAAAGAGAAGACAGACTGAATGACAGTTGACAGAAAATTTTGAATGATTGACAGCTGATGCCATTATCAGGCATAGGGAGGCAGTGGTGAACTTGTTCTTTAAACAAAGAACACACAAGTGTCCTCTGGATAGCAAGAGATTTGGGCTTGGAATTGTGGGGCAAGGATGTTGGGTTTAAAATAGGGATAGTACACATCATCTCTAAAAATTGGTACTTCTTACTGTGAGAATAAATAAGCTCTTTAAGATAAAAGAGTAGATGGAATTATAATTAGTGGAGAATGGGAAAGAAGGCAAAGTTAAGTCAGGAGAAGAGGAATTCCAGAAACCTTAGTTGCATTTGAGCCTTTAATATTTTATTCCTAAGAGTCAATTAATCTCACTCACATGTAAGGATTAGATGTGAATTTTGGGCTGGAGCTGGGGAATTCTGACAT